AGGGAAGGAGCCCTCCCAGCGAGGTCAGATCCCATCACTAATATATACACAGGCTGTGCCCCCGCTCCCGTCACCCGGCGCAGGTTTGTTTAAGGCGCACACACACTCTGACACTAATTTCTGCTCGCCTCGCTCCCCCAGCCGGCCCCATTATGGCTCAAACCCTCCCCGCGCGACGGCTGGCGGCGCCCGGGGGGGCTGGGGGTTTTTGTTGGTTTGTTTTGTTGGGGTTTCTTCGTTGTTGTTGTTTTATTTGCCGTCCCTCCCCCTCCCAACACCTGACCAAGGTCAAGACGAGGCGGCGGCGGCGCTCGGGGTTGTGGCCGGCAGCTGCTGCGCCGGGGCCGCTCGCAGGAATGCGCCGGGCCCGCAGATGGGACCTGGCGGGGCCGGGGCCGGGACTCAGCTGCTGGGGACGGCTGGGGGCTGGGGTGGGCGCAGGATGGAGATCGCCCCACTTAGGGGGGCTGGGGTGGGGGCAGGATGGAGATTTCCCTGTTGGAGTGGGGGCAGGATGCAGATTTCCCTCTTTAGGGGATGAGGAGATGGGGGGAGATGGAGATTTCCCCAATTCAGGGAGGCTAGGCTGGGGGCAGGATGGAGATTTCCCTGCTGGGGAATGATGAGATGGGGGGACACGGAGATTTCCACCTTTGGGGATGATGGGTTGGGGGTGACGGAGATTTCCCCATTTTGGGGGGCTAAGGTGGGTGCAGGATGGATATTTCCCTCTTTGGGGTGGGGGCAGGATGGAGATTTCCCTCTTTGGGGGATGATGTATTGGGGGGACACGGAGATTTCCACCTTTGGGGATGATGGGATGGGGATGACGGAGATTTCCCCCTTTGGGGGGTGCTGGGATGGGGGCACATGGAAATTTCCCCTTTTGGGGGATGATGAGATTGGGGGAGATGGAGATTTCCCTCTTTGGGGATGATGGGATGGGAGTGACAGAAATTTCCCCCTCTTGGGCGGATGCTGTGATGGGGGCAGATGGAAATTCCGAAAGTTCCCCCTCGGGGGGTGTTGGGATGGGGGCAGATGGAAATCCCGAAATTTCCCCCCTTTGTGCCAGCTGTGGGCATCCTTGGAGCGTGGCTGATGGATTGGGGCAGGGTGCAGCTGGGGGGTCCTGCTGGTGGCGAGGGGAGGGTGGGACAGCCCTGCCTGGCTCGTGCTGTTCAGCCCCTAAATGAGGAGTTTTGGGGTGGTTTTGGGGCTGCCAGTGGGGTCTCACTGGTCCCAGTGCCACCAACACAGGGCACATGTGGTGGCCTTGCTGCCACCATCCCTGTCCCCTGGACCCTGGCACTGGGGGAGGTTCAGCCCCCAAGTGAGGAGTTTTGGGGCTGCCAATGGGGCTCTGCCCCTAAATGAGGAGTTTTGGGGTGGATTTGGGGCTGTCAATGGGGTTAAGACCCCAAATGAGGCGTTTTGGGCTGGTTTTGGGGCTGCAGTGGGGTCTCACATGTGGATGCCCAGCCCTGCCCTCGCTGCCACCATCCCCATGGCCTCCACCCAGCCCTGGGGGGCTCTGGGGGCGGCTGCTGCTGCTGGGGGGTTCAGGGGTGCCCTGCACCCCCACCGAGGGTTTGGAGCTGCTCTCGTGCCAATGCCCTGTGCCAGGGCTCACCCCGTGCCCCGGGGTGCTGCCAGCCCGGGTTGGCATCAAATAAATCAGCTGCTGCTTGTTCTGGTGCCCGGGCTTGGTTTAGAGCTCATTTTAAGGCGTTCTGCCCTAAATTACAGCCCCATCCATCAGTTCCCACTCAGCCTGGCCAGGCACAGGCCCACGGAATTCAAGTTCCCTCTGCAGCTCCTGGGGCTTGGAAAGGGTGAGGGGGGAATCCCAGTAGGATCCTGGGCTGGGATGGGCATCCTTCCCTCCTTCCCTCTTTTCCTCCTTCCCTCTTTCCCTCTTTTCCTCCTTCCCTCTTTCCCTCTTTTCCTCCTCCCCGAGTTGTTCCTCTTTCCCTCCTTCCCTCTTTCCTTCCTCTCCTCCTTCCCTCTTTTCCTCTTCCTTGAGCTGTTCCTCTTCCCCTCTTTTTCTCTTTTCCTCCTTCCCTCTTTTCCTCCTTCCTTTTCCCTCTTTCCTTCTTTTTCCTCCTTCCATTTTCCTTTTTCCTCTTTCCCCCTTTTCCCTCCTTCCCTCTCCCCTCCCTCCCTGCCCCCCTCGTCTCGGCTGCCTGTCCCTGACACTCCGTGGCAGCCCATTCAAAATGCATGGGCTCCCCTTTCCGAGCGCCCCGCTCCTTTTGAACTAAAAGGATTTTCTCAGAGGCTAAGTTCAAATGTACGGCCGTTATTTATTTATCACCCCCGCTATGTATTATTCATTTATTTAAAAATGTATGGCAGCTGGGAGCCCCGTGTTTAATCACCCCGCGGATGGCGAGGCCAGGTGGGGCCGGCCCCTCGGCCCGCCGCTAACCTGGCGCGGTGGCCTCACGCCTGAGCGACCCCGGGGCCGGGCGGAGGGTCCCGGGGCCTGGCAGGGCCTGGGGCCGGGGCATGGAGGGGCTGCTGTGCCCCGGTGGGGCTGCTGTGCCCCCGGGATGGAGGGGCTGCTGTGCCCAGGCATGGAGGGGCTGCTCTGCTGTGCCCCCGGTGGGTGAAGAGCTGCCGTGCCCCCGGTGGAGCTGCTGTGCCCCCCGGGATGGTGGAGCTGCCATGCCCCCGGTAGAGTTGCCATGCCCCGGTGCCGGTGCCGTGCCCGGGGATGGGGTGCTGCCGTGCCCCCCGGTGAACGGAGGAGCTGCCGTGCCCCCGGTGCCGGTGCCGTGCCCCCGGTGCCGGTGCCGTGCCCCGGTGCCGGTGCCAGGGCTGTTGTCGTCCTTCCCCGCTGCTTTTTGGGCTTGGGGACAAGGCCGTGCCACCCCGCTGTCCCCAGGACAAGGACCCAAGGACAAGGCGGGGAGGTGGAAGCGGCTGGCGCTGGGCCGCGAGGAGGCAAAAAAAGGCAGAAAAACGAGAAAACGAGGCCGGGTTTCCACTCCGCACCACGGCGGGGAGGAGGGGAGGACACATCCAGCCCTGCTGGCACCTCGCTGTCCCCGCAGGGCTGAGGCGCCCCGGAAGGGTTAAGGATGCTGGAGGTGCCCGCAGGCCCCCGAGGAGCCCCCGCCGCCCCGTTCCTCGGCGGGACAGTCGCTAATTGAGACAGCTCGGGCCGCCGCCTCCCCGCCGGCCCCCGGGGGCTGAGCTGCCTCTTCCCAGGGGGAGCACATTGTCTGCTCGGGCGGGTTGATGTAATCCCTCGGCCCGAACAATGCTTCCCCACCCCGCTCCGCTTGAAAGGGTATTAGTTGCCCAATGAGATAATTACTCCGCGGGCCACCCTAATCATCCCCTCGCTCCCCGCCGCTCCTCCCCGGAGCCGCCCGGGATGGGGGGTCGGGCTGGGAGGCGCTGGGGGGCTCGTCCTGCCCTACAAACCGACAGGAAAACGTCCTGGAAAAGAGGGATGTGGGGCGGGATGGAACCTGCTGAGGGACTCGTCCTGCCCTACAAACCGACAGGAAAACATCCTGGAAAAGAGGGATGTGGGGCGGGATGGAACCTGCTGAGGGACTCCTCCTGCCCTACAACCCGACAGGAAAACGTCCTGGAAAAGAGGGATGTGGGGCGGGATGGAACCTGCTGAGGGACTCGTCCTGCAATGGAACCTTAACCCTACAAACCGACAGGAAAATGTCCTGCAAAAGAGGGATGTGGGGTCGGGGTGGAACCCGCTGAGGGGTTCATACTACCCTAAAATAGCAGGAAAATGTCCTGGAAAAGAGGGATGAAGGGTCGGGGAGAAACTCACTGAGGGGCTCGTCCTACACAGGAATCTGAATCCTAAGAACTGACAGGAAAGTGTCCTGGAAAAGAGGGATGAGGGGCGGGGTGGAACCTGCTGAGGGGCTCATCCCGCCCTAAAAACTGTCAGGAAAATGTCCTGGAAAAGAGGGATGAGGGGTTGGGGTGGAACCACTGAGGGGCTCATCCTGTAATGAAACCTTAAACCGACAGGAAAATGTCCTGGAAAAGAGGGATGAGGGGTTGGGGTGGAACCACTGAGGGGCTCATCCTGTAATGAAACCTTAAACCGACAGGAAAATGTCCTGGAAAAGAGGGATGTGGGATCAGGGTGGAACCTGCTGGGGGGCTCGTCCTGCCCTAAAAAGCAGCAGGAAAATGTCCTGGAAAAGAGGGATGTGAGGTCGGGGAGGAACCACTGAGGGCTCGTCCTAGCCGGGAATCTGAACCCCACAAGCAGCAGGGCAGTGCTCCGTGCCCCGAGCTGTCCCCTCCGGGCTCCTGGCCGCTGTCACCCCGCAGCAGGGCAATGTTCCGTGCCCCGAGCTGTCCCCTCCGGGCTCCTGGCCGCTGTCACCCCGCAGCGTCCCCGGGGCGTGGGCGGGGATCCCGGGGAGCTCCCGGAGCGCGGCTGGGATGGAGCCGCTCCCGGTGCGATGGGATTTGGGATTTTCCCGACGTTCCGACCCCACCGTGACCCCTCGGGAAGGGCCTGGGCTGGTGGCCAGATGTCCCCGGAGCGCCTGGCAGGCAGCACTGGGAGCCCGCCTGCCAGGGCAGAACTGGGGGACACGGAATTCCGTGTGCTCCTTAAACATCAGCACTCACAGAACCACAGAATCCCAGAAACCCAGAACCCCAAAATCACAGAATCTCTGAATCCCAGAATCCTGGAATCCCACGATCTCACAATCCCCAAATCCTTGAATCCCAGAATCTCAGAATCCCAAAATTCCAACATCTCAGAATCCCCGAATCCCTAAATCTCAGAATCCCAGAGCCACAGAATCTCAGCATCACAGAGGTCCAGAATCCCAAAATTCAGAATCTCTGAATCCCTAAATCTCAGAATCCCAGAATCCCTAAATCTCAGAATCCCAGAATCCCCAGTTCCCAGAATCCCAATAGTCCAGAATCCCAGAATCTGGAGGTGATCCATCAGGACCTGGAGCTGACAGCCCCCATTCCGTGTTTTGCAGAGCAGAACTCCCACCTCGCCCCGATCCAGCCCCGTCCCTCACCAGGAACGGGAACGGAGCCTTGGGAAGGCCCCAAATCCCAGAAATCCCGGCGGGAGCAGCCCAGGAGCTGCCCTGGGCTGGGATTCCCTGCCCTGGCACCCGGGAAAGGCTCTTTGGGGTCTGCTGCGACCCCAGTCCTGTGGGGTCGCTGGGATGCCAGCTCCTCGTTCCCAGCTGGATGGGGTAAGTTTGGGGTTTTCCTGCTGTTCTCTCCTTTGCAGATCTGGGTTTTCCATGTGGGATCTGCCCCGGGCTCCCTCCAGCAGGGATCTGGGGGATCAGGGAGCAGCTGTGAGGCCCCACCCTGATCCTTTTCCCGTTGTTTTGTGGGGAAAAGCCCAATTTTATCCCCATTTTATTGACATTCCTCTTTGGAAATATTCATCTCCCACCCCCTCCTGGAGCTGGTGGAAAACCAGACTGTTTGGGATCCCAAAAAATCGACTTTTCCCCCATTTCCCTTTTAATTTACACCCCAAAACCTCCCCTCCACGACCCAAACCCATCCTTTAATCCCCCTAAATGGGAATTTCCTTCCATTCCTCCCCTCCTGCTCCATCCAAACCCGATTTTCCTGGGGTTTAACCCCTTCCAGCCTGATTTTCCAGGGTTTAGCCCCTTCCAGCCTGATTTTCCAGGGTTTAACCCCTTCCAGCTGCTGCTGGGGCTGTTTTTGGGGCTCCAGCCCCATCCCCCAGCGCAGGGCAGGGGGTGGGGATGAGCAGAACCCGCAGCCACAGCTCATCCCATCCTCGGGAATCAGTCAAGGGAGAAAATCCACATCCCCTCAGGTCCTCCCTCCTCCAAGTTCTTTTTTTTTTTTTCCTTTTTTTCCTCCTCCACGTGACAGAGCTGTCCAAAACATTAGGAAAAATAACTTTCACCTTTCCCGGGGTGAGCCTGGCAGCCAGGGGAGGTTTTTTCCAGCAGGATTTTTTCATCCCAAGCAGGGGGATGAGGGAAATAATCCCAATTTTCCCCCTTAAAAATGCTAAAGGGGGTTGGGTGTGTGCAGGTCGGGTTTTCCAGGTGGAAATGTGGGATCAGCCCTGGGAGATGGGGCTGGAATTTTGCTGTGGGTTCCTCCTCCCCCATCCCCAGGGACACACATTCCCAATCCGCCTTTGGGAGTGGGATCAGCTCTGTCCCACCGGCCTGGGGACGGATTGGGAGCCCCAGTCCCGGCTGAGAGGCCTCAAAACCCTGGAATTTGGAGCCTTTCCCATATTTCCCCCTCATTCCCAGCTCTGAACCCTCCAGGGCCATGGTGGGGGCGGATTTGGGATCCCCAGCTGAGCCTGAGGCCTCAAAAGCCCCAAATTCTGAACTTTTCCCACATTTTCCCTCATTCCCAGCTCTGAACCCTCTAGGGCCACCATGGGTGCCCTCAGCAGCTGCGTGATGCCGTGGGCCCCCCTCATCACCCTCATCTTCCTCATCCTCCTCATCCTCTCATCACCCTCATCACCCTCATCCTCCTCATCATCCTCATCTTCCTCATCCTCCTCCTCATCCTCATCATCCTCATCACCCTCATCACCCTCATCCTCCTCATCACCCTCATCCTCCTCATCACCCTCATCCTCCTCATCACCCTCATCCTCCTCATCACCCTCATCCTCCTCATCACCCTCATCCTCCTCATCACCCTCATCCTCCTCATCACCCTCATCCTCCTCATCACCCTCATCCTCCTCATCATCCTCATCCTCCTCCTCATCCTCATCATCCTCATCATCCTCATCCTCCTCCTCATCCTCCTCATCCTCCTCATCCTCCTCATCATCCTCATCCTCCTCATATTTGTCCTTCTCCTGCTCTTCCTTCTCCTCCTCCTCCTCCCACTTTTCCTCCTCCTCCTCCTCCTGCTTTTCCTCCTCATCCTCCTCACCCTCCTCATCCTTTTCCTCCTCACCCTCTTCTTCCTCCTCATCCTTCTCCTGCTCTTCCTCCTCCTCCTCCCGCTCTTCCTCCTCCTCCTCCTCGGTGTCTCTAAGATGGCCGGCGGCCCCGAAACGCTTCTGAGCCTGAGACGCCATCTGCAAGGCCGCTCCCACGCCCGCCGTGGCCTTTTTATGCAAAGGGGAATTAATTAGATTTGAATATGGTAATGAGGCCGCCAGCCCCCCTGGGTGCTCATCGCCAGCTTCCCTTTTTCTCCCGGCCTCTCTTCTCACCCCTCTCCCTCCCCTCCCTTTTTTCTTCCCCTTTTCCCCAATTTTTTCCCAATTTCCCCTCTTTTCCTGAATTTTCCCCAATTTTCCCAATTTTTCCCCCACTTTCCCCCAATTTTTCCCCCAATTTCCCCCAATTTTCCCCCCAATTTCCACCAATTTCCTCCCATTTTCCACGAATTTCCCCCATTTCCCCAAATTTCCCAATTTCCCCTCAATTTTTCCCAATTTTCCCTTTTCCCATAATTTTTTCCCAGTTTCCCCCAACTTTTCCTAAATTTCCTGTTTTCCCCCACTTTTTTCCCCTTTCCCAAATTTTTCCCCAATTTCCCCCAATTTTTCCCCAATTTTTCCAATATTTTCCCCAATTTTCTCCATTTTCATGTTTTGAGCCTCTCTGATCCTCAAATCCCCAAAATTCCTTTTTTCCCCGGCCTTGGATGGGCATTTTTGGGATATTTTCTATACATTTTCTATCAATCTCTATTGATATTTATATTTCCCCTTTTCCCCCACTCCACTCACGAAGCAAACAAAGGAAATTTGGGGAAATTCCAGAAAAGCAGAAAAGGTTTTCTGGGAGAGTCTCTGGGATTGCTTTGTTTGAAACTGAGAATATTGGGAATATTTTAAGTGGATTAAATTCCAGGGAAACTCGAAAATCCACCTGAAACAACAATTAGGCTGGAATGAGAATTATAATTATATTAAAATATATGCATATATAAATATATTTTTGTATAAATATATAGATACACTATAGACATGTATTTTATATAAAATATTTCCACGTAAATATATAAATATATAAAATTATAAAGTATACAATTATAAAAATTATAAAAGTGTAAATATAAAATATTTTATATTTATATGATATATTTATAATATATATTTTATATATATATATAAAAATATATGAATATATAAATATATGAATATATAAATATATACGAATGGGATTTTTTTAACCCTGGCTCCTCTGTGGGAGCCAGGGGGTTTAGGATGAATTTTGGGTGGTTTTGGGGGGTTTTGAGGATGAATTTTGGGTGGTTTTGGGGGGTTTTGAGGATGAATTTTGGGTGGTTTTTGGATGAATTTTTGGCTTTCAGGGCGCCTGAAATTTCCAGAAAAAAAGCTCAGGAAATTCCCCCCGAATTCCCAAGGAGGGAAAATCCAGCGGGGAGAGGGAAAAAAGGGAAAGGGGGAGAGAGGGGAGAAGGATCCACGGGGCAGGAGAGAAAATAAACCCCAGAGGGAGGAAAAATGGAGCAGAAATCCTAAAAAATGGGAAAAATGGGGAAATTGCTATTTTTGGCATCCCCGTGTCCCTGTTCTCCACCCAGGGCAGGAGGAAGGGCTGGGCTCTAAATCTCCCAGGGAGCTTTTCCAGGCAGGATTTTTCTCTCCTCTTCCCACTTTTTTATTATTTTTTCCCTTTTTTCCCCGCCTTTCCCACGTGGGTTCCCCGAGGCAAAGGAAAACAAGCGAGGATGATTTTTATTTTTTTTTTCTTTTGTCTCGGTCCTAATCCAGCCCTGCCTCCTCCTTTCCATTCACAAATTTCTTCCATGGCTGGGGAAAAAAAGGAAAAAAGGGAAAAATATTATATATTTAAATTTATTTTAAAAATTAATTAAAAAGGGAAAGGAGGGAAGGAAGGATGGAGGAGATCCGAGCTGATCCCAAGGGTTCCATTCCACCTCCCAATAATCCTATGGATTAAAACAAAAAAATTAAAAAAATAAACATAAAGGAAGCGCTCAGGATTGGGAGAGAGAAGGGAAAAAAGAGAGAAAAGGGAAAAAATGGGCAAATTCAGCTGCAAGGGGGAATCTCACCTTGGAAAACCAAGGAAATTCACCCGCAAGGCCGAAATGTCCAGATGGTGGAAAAACCAAGGAAATTTGGCTGTAGGGTTAAAATCTCATTTTGGGAAAACAAAGAGATCCAGCTGCAGGGCAGAAACCTCCACATGTCAATAAAAACAGGAAATTCCCTTTAAGGCCGAATTCTCTCCATTCTGGCAAACCCAGGAAATTCCCTTTTGGGCCGAATTCCCCCCATTTCGGCAGGTTCAGGAAATTCTCCTTAAGGCCAACCTCTCCCCATTTCAGCCCCCAGGAAATTCCCTTTTACCCCAAACTCCCATTTCATCACCCAGGAAATTCCCATTAACCCCCAACTCCCATTTCAGCCCCCAGGAAATTCCCTTTTACCCCAAACTCCCATTTCAGCCCCCAGGAAATTCCCATTAACCCCAAACTCCCATTTCAGCCCCCAGGAAATTCCCATTAACCCCAAAACTCCCATTTCAGCCCCCAGGAAATTCCCATTAACCCCAAACTCCCATTTCAGCCCCCAGGAAATTCCCATTAACCCCAAACTCCCATTTCAGCCCCCAGGAAATTCCCATTAACCCCAAATTCCCATTTCAGCCCCCAGGAAATTCCCATTAACCCCAAATTCCCATTTCAGCCCCCAGGAAATTCCCTTTTACCCCAAACTCCCATTTCAGCCCCCAGGAAATTCCCTTTTACCCCAAACTCCCATTTCAGCCCCCAGGAAATTCCCTTTTACCCCAAACTCCCATTTCAGCCCCCAGGAAATTCCCATTAACCCCAACCTGTCCCGGTTTCGGGGCGCGGGCGCCGCTCGGGGGTTCCTTTGTGGGGCTCCTTTGTGGGGCTCCTTTGTGGGGTTCCTTTGTGGGGTTCCTTTGTGGGGCTCCTTTGTGGGGCTCCTTTGTGGGGTTCCTTTGTGGGGTTCCTTTGTGGGGCTCCTTTGTGGGGCTCCTTTGTGGGGTTCCTTTGTGGGGTTCCTTTGTGGGGCTCCTTTGTGGGGCTCCTTTGTGGGGTTCCTTTGTGGGGCTCCTTTGTGGGGTTCCTTTGTGGGGCTCCTTTGTGGGGTTCCTTTGTGGGGCTCCTTTGTGGGGTTCCTTTGTGGGGCTCCTTTGTGGGGTTCCTTTGTGGGGCTCCTTTGTGGGGTTCCTTTGTGGGGCTCCTTTGTGGGGTTCCTTTGTGGGGCTCCTTTGTGGGGCTCCTTTGTGGGGCTCCTTTGTGGGGCTCCTTTGTGGGGCTCCTTTGTGGGGCTCCTTTGTGGGGCTCCTTTGTGGGGCTCCTCTGTGGGGTCCCTCTGTGGGGTTCCTTTGTGGGGCTCCTTTGTGGGGTTCCTTTGTGGGGCTCCTTTGTGGGGTTCCTTTGTGGGGCTCCTTTGTGGGGTCCCTTTGTTCCTTCCCCCTCCCCGCCGGCCCCGAGGATCCAACCAGCGGCGTTTGCATGTTCGGAGCAGGTGGGGGCCCAGATGTGGGATGTGCAGCCCGAATTAGCCACCCTAATCATCACCGGGCGCGCGGGGGCAGGGCCGGCGCTAATTGCGGCGCTCGGCTGTGCCCGCGGTGAAGCCGAGCTCCGCTCCGAGCTGGAGCCGAGGCCGGGCCCAGCCGGGTCCGGGGGCTTGGGGAGCTCCCGGAGGCCCCTGGCTCGTCCCCGTGGGGTTTTTGGGGTTTTTCCCGGCTGCTTTGGGGTGGTGCCCGAGCGCCTTGGCCCGGTGGTTCAGGCACGCTTCGTGCCTGGGTTTATCCGGATGTTTCCAGAACGTTCTGGTTCATCCGGATGTTCCTGGAACGTTCCGGTTTATCCAGATGTGTCCGGAACATTCAGCTTTGTCCGGATGTTTCTGGAATGTTCCAGTTTATCCGGATGTTTCTGCAATGTTCCAGTTTATCCGGATGTTTCCGGAACGTTCCGGTTACCCGGATGTTTCCGGAACGTTCCGTGTCCCCCCCCCCGCGTGCCTCCCTGCAGGAGCAGCGCACGGAGCCAGGAGAAGGAGCCCGCTTTTCCACTTTCCCCTAAATCCCGAGGTTTTGGCCTCCAGAGCCTCCCATCCTGCCCCGCCGCTCCCAGGGGCGCTGCCACCCCGAAGGGTTGAGGTGGCACCCAGAGGTGGCACCCAGAGGTGGCACCGGGGACACCCAGAGGTGGCACTGGGGGCACCCAGAGGTGGCACTGGGGACATTCAGGATCCGGGTGCAGCTGGCACCGCTTCCCCTGGAGGAGCCCCGGGAATGGGATCAGGAATGGGATTGGGGTCGGGAATGGGAATGGGAATGGGACCAGGAGGTGGAATAGGAATGGGATTGGGAATGAGAACGGGAATGGGATTGGGTTCGGGAATGGGAACGGGGTCGGGAATGGGAATGGGAGCAGGAATGGGAATGGGGTCGGGAATGGGAATGGGATTGGGAATGGGAATGGAAGGGAAATGGGAACGGGGACAGGAATGGGAATGGGGAATGGGAATGGGAATGGGGAAGGGAGCAGGAAAAGGAGCAGGGAAGGGACCGGGAAGGGACCGGGAAGGGACCGGGAAGGGACCGGGAAGGGGCCGCCGGAGCTGCGGGAGGTTCCCGGGGTTTCCTCTTGGGAAAAGCCGGGAATTGGCTCCGGTTCCGCGGGAGGGGCCGGGGAAGCTGCGCCCCCCCCGGGGCCGAGCCTGGAGCTGCTCCCGGGGGGACCCCGGCTCTGCTCCCGTCCCTCCTCCTCCTCCTCCTCCTCCTTCCTCCCGTGAGGGGTTTGGGGTCAGGGGACAAAATTCCCACCCGGCCCAGAGGAAATCCCGGGATCCCAAAGCTCTGGGACGGTCTAGAGAGGGGATTTTCCAGGCAGGGAAGTTTGGGGACATCCCAAAATCCAGTCCCGGTCCCAGTCCCGGTCCCAGTCCCAATCCCAGTCCCGGTCCCAGTCCCAGTCCCAATCCCAGTCCCGGTCCCAGTCCCAATCCCAGTCCCAGTCCCAATCCCAGTCCCAGTCCCAGCCAGTCCCGGTCCCAGTCCCGGTCCCAGTCCCAATCCCAGTCCCGGTCCCAGTCCCAGTCCCAATCCCAGTCCCGGTCCCAGTCCCAATCCCAGTCCCAGTCCCAATCCCAGTCCCAGTCCCAGTCCCAATCCCAGTCCCAGTCCCAATCCCAATCCCGGTCCCAATCCCAATCCCAGTCCCGGTCCCAATCCCGGTCCCAATCCCAATTCCAGTCCCAATCCCAGTCCCATTCCCAGTCTTTTTTCCGGGAAAAAAGAACCAAAAAGGGAAAAGTGGGATAATCTTCCCACCTGTTTGCTTTTAAATGGGGGGGGTGGTGGGATTTTGGGAAAATAAAAGGAAGAAAAAAGGGAAAAGAGGGAAAAGAGGGGGGGAAAGTGGAAAAGAAGGGGGAAAAGGGAAAAAAAGGAAAAGGGGGGAAAAAAGGAAAAAGAGGAAAACCCCCCTCACTTGTCAGGTTCTAAATTGGGTGGGCGGGGGGGATTTGGGGAAAAAAAGGGAACGTGGGGAAAACCCCTCACCTGTTCACTTTTAAATCGCTTTGGGTTTTTTTTTTTCCCCTAAAAAAATGAGAAAAAAATTTCCCAGGATGGGGAGAAAACCTCGCAGGCCGGGGAGAGGCCCCGAGCAGCTGGAGATGCCATAAATCCCGCGGGTGTCGGCGGCCCCGCCGCCCCATAAATATCCCCGGGAGGGGACAAAGCCCCCATTGAGCCCCGGCAGCTGCGCGGGACGGCCGCGGGTCAAGGGCGCCGCGGGCCCGGCCCGGCTCGTTCCCTTTTTACTCAGAAAAATCGGGTTTAGCCCCTCGGGCTGGGGAAAAATTGTTATTTGGGAGTTTTAGTGCTTAGGGTTTAGGGAGATTGGGTGGGGTGAAGGGGAAACTGAGGCACGGGGATTGAGGCCAAAATGGCTTTTACTTTTATTTTATTTTATTTTATTTTATTTTATTTTATTTTATTTATTTTATTATTTTATTTTATTTTTATTATTTTATTTTATTTTATTTTATTTTATTTTATTTTATTTTATTTTATTTTATTTTATTTTATTATTATTTTTTAAATTTTATTTTATTTTATTTTATTTATTTAATTTCATTTTAATATTTTATTTTTAAAATGTATGTTATTTATTTTTGTTATATTTATATTTATTTTAATTTTATTTAATTATTTTATATTACGTACTTATTCTATTGTATTTCATTTATGTATTCATTTCATTTATTTATTTATATTTAATATTTTATTTCCTTATTGTATTGTATTTTATTTATATATTAATTTTATTTATTTATTTTAAATATTTATTTTTGCATTTATTTATTTATTTTAAATATTTTAAATTTATGTACTTATTTATTTATTTTAAATTTATTTATTTATTTATGCATTTACATTTTAAATTTTTTTTTTTTTGGTGGAAAATTGGAAACTTTCCTGCCCCAAAACCTTGGGATTTTTGTGTTTTCCATCCTGATTCCCATGAAGAGCCAGGAAACTCCTGGAGAACCTTCCAGAAAACTCCACCTCCTTTAATTCTGGGAATTTTGGAGCCTCCCAGCCTGGATTTACCTGAGCAGCCAGCGGATCTTCCCCTGGAAAAAAGGAAAAAGATAATTCTGGGCTATCCCCAAAAAATCCCGGGGATTTTCCCAAAAAATGGGATAATCCCTAATAATGGGATTTTTTGGGAGATAATCCCAAAAAAATCGGGATTTCCAGGGCTCCAGGCGGCTTTAAAGGCTCCGAATGGACGCAAATGAGGCGATTTTCCAGATTTTTCTCATTTCCAGGGATTAAAAACCCGAGGAAAAGAGGGAAAATCCCAATTAAAATTAATTTTTTTTAGTTTCAAAAATAAAAATGAAACGCCCAGGTCCTCTGAACTCCAGGAAGTGCCCAAGAATTGGGTGGAATTCTCCTTTTTTCCCCGTTTTTAATGGATAAAATTCCACGTGGAATGGCTTAGCACCCGCGGGTTGGAAATTCCCTTTATTCACCCCAAATTTCTCTCATTAATGGCATTTTATGGGGCCATTCTTGGGAAGTTCTTGTGGAATTTTGAGTTTCTCGTTATTTTTTTCTCTTTTTTTGGGGGGGGGGGGATTTTTTGGGAGCGATTCTTGGAAACTTTTTTGGGGAATTATTTGTGGAATTTTGTGTTCCCAACTTTGGGAGCAGAGGTTTTTTTTCCTCGTTATTTTTTGGGGAGGTTTTTTTCCCTCCTCCTCCCGCGGCTGCTGGCAGAGGTGGAATTAATCCCTATGGAAATTTATTGAAATGAATTCCCGCCTGGACACTCAAGCTGTTCCCAGCCTGGCGAGGGGGGAGGGCGCGGAGACCCCCGGGATCCCAGATCCCCCTCCCCCTTTCCTGGGGTTTTTCCCTGCTGGAATTGCGGAGTTCTGCCCCAAATCCGCGATTCCCCCGGGGGCTCTTGGAGAGCAGCGAGGCTCCAGTGGCTCTGGAAAATTAAATTTTTTGGGGGTTGGTTTTGCCCCCAAAAAATCCTCGAGTTTTGGTTGTTCCATGAGGGGAATATTGAGCGTTTCCAGAACTGAGAAATCCTGGTTTTCCTGCCCGAAATCCCTGGCTTTATTTGTTGGAATTGCCCTGAAACGGATCCAGTTTTCCCAAATTAAACAGATCCAAATTAAACAGATCCAAATTAAACAGATCCAAATTAAACAGATCCAGCTTTCCCAAATTAATTCTCCCAAATTTCCCCAACTCAAACAGATCCAGCTCTTCCTGTTGGGATGGGACAGAGATTTCCTTGGGATGGCGGAGACAGAGTGAGCACCAAAATCTGGGAATCCTGGGAATCCTGGGAATCCTGGGAATCCTGGGAATTCTGGGAAATTGGGAATCCTGGAATTCTGGGAAATTGGGAATTCTGGGAATCCTGGAAATTCTGGAACCCTGGGAATTCTGGGAATTCTGGGAATTCTGGCAATTTGAGGATTCTGGGAATTCTGGAATCCTGGGGATTTGGGAATTCTGGAATTCTGGAATCCTGGGGATTTGGGAATTCTGGAATTCTGGAATCCCGGGAATCCCCGGGGGCATCCTCGGGGCTGGGGGCGTCCGGAGCCTCCCCTGGACCCGAATCCCGAAATCCCGGGAATCGGAGCTGGGGGAACCAGCAGGGACCCCAAAACCAACTAAACCCCAGTTAATTATCCCAAGTAATTAATGACTGAGGGAATTTGGGCTCGGGCCGGGCGGGGCTGGGTGAGGGAGGGGCTGGAACAACGTGGGGCAGTGTGGGAGACTGGAACTGGGAATGAACTGGGAACTGGGAATGAACTGGGAATGGGAATGAACTGGGAACTGGGAATGAACTGGGAATGGGAATGAACTGGGAACTGGGAATGAACTGGGAATGAACTGGGAACTGGGAATTGGGAACTGGGAATTGGGAACTGGGAGCAGGGACATTCCTGGGGACGGCAGGTGACACTGGCTCTGTCCCTCCCCAGGACGCTCTCGGTGACCGCCCCCCCGGGCCCCCCCCGGGCCAGGGGCAGTGACAAGGACGTGAGCGCGGCGCTGCCCCCGCCCGGCCCCGGGACCCGCCCGAGCACGGTGAGGAACTCCTGACCTGTCCCTTCCCCTGTCCCAAGGTGTCACCTGCCCCTTCCCCTGCCCCAAGGTGTCACTGCCCCTTCCCCTGCCCCCAGGTGCCACCTGTCCCTTCCCCTGCCCCAAGGTGCCACCTGCCCCAAGGTGCCACCTGTCCCTTCCCCTGCCCCAAGGTGCCACCTGCCCCAAGGTGTCACCTGCCCCTTTCCTTTCTGTCCCAAGGTGTCACTGCCCCCTTCCCCTGCCCCAAGGTGTCACCTGTCCCTCCCCCTGTCCCAAGGTGTCACCTGTCCCTTCCCCTGTCCCAAGGTGCCACCTGCCCCTTTCCTTTCTTTCCCAAGGTGTCACCTGTCCCTTCCCCTGTCCCAAGGTGCCACCTGCCCCTTTCCTTTCAGTCCCAAAAAATGGGGTTTTCCTCTCCCAGCTCTGCAGAGGGAGGTGTGGGGGGGTCCGGATGGCCCAGAGGGGACAATTGCTGTCCCTTTGGGGCTGAAGGGTGGGGACAGGGACAGGGACAGGGACAGGGACAGGGATGTCCCACCTGTGCCTCAATCCCTTTTCCTCTCCTCATTCCCAGCCTGGACCTGGGGGCTGGCTCAGATCCCTCTTCCTTTGGGGTCACCCTGATGGGGACAGGCTGGGGACAGGCTGGGGACACAGGGACAGGTTTGGGACAGGCTGGGGACAGGTGGGATGGACTGGGGACAGGTTTGGGACAGGCTGGGGACAGGGCCAGGTTGCCCCAGCCCCACCAGGCCCCCCCGAGCCCCATTCCAGCCCCACAATTCCCATTTTTTCCATCTTTTAGCCCAATTTCGAGGCAATCCCGCAGCTCCAGCAGGCGGGTCGCGGTGACTCCAGCTCTGTCCCCCCACAGGGGACACCTCTAAAATGCCACCAAACCTTTCAGTGCCACAAGAGCCAGGACAAACCTCAGCAGGGACATCCCCAAAACCCCCTCCCAAATACTGAGCCGTGCATTAAATTAAGGCTGAGGGAAAAAAATGTAAAAAAAATGAAAACTGAAATCAATAAAATCGATGAAAGGAGGGAGAAGGCGGCACGTCGGAGGGGAAGCGTGGCAGTTTGTTATGCTAACCGAGGGGGGCTCCGCGCGGGGGGACGAGCCGGAGAGGTCTGAAGAGCAAGGAGTTCACAGGCCCTCTCCTTTTGTCATGCTAAAAGTGCAACACACAAAATATACACAGGCAGCTGCTCGATGGAGCGTGAAATACGGGAGATTTCTCCGCCGGCCCCGGGTAATGCGATGCAGCCGCGGGACAATGCCCGGCCGCCGCCTTTGTGCGCCGCGGGAAACTTGGATTTTATTTCATTTTTCTCTTTTTTAGGGGGCTGGGACAAACGGCCGGAGCGAGGGACGGAGGCGGGGAGCGCCCCGGTGCCGGGCTGGAGCCGGCCCAGCCCCGCTGGGGGGAGATGTCGCCCCCGGGGCGGTTTTGGGGACGTTTGGGGACATTCGGGGTCCCGCGGCGGGCGCTGCCTTTGCTGATGCTAATGGGGAGCGGTGTAAAATCAGCGCTCAAAGGCGCCTTTGTGTCCCCGGGGGGCTCCGAGCATCCATCTTCCGCCTCCCCTCGGGGGTCTGAGCTGAAAGCGGCGCCCCGGGGGCTCCGAGGGACCGAGCTGCCGCTTCGGGCAGCGCCCGTGTCCAACCCGGCGGCTTTGGGGGGTTTTGGGCGGTTTTGGGGGGTTTTGGGGGGCTCAGGGCATGCAGGCAGCGGAGGTGATGGAGCAGGAGGCTTCCCCGGGCTGCGGTATTTTGGGGGAATTTGGGGCGTTTTTGGCACCGCATCCCAGCGGAGGAGGCGCTGCTGGGGGGGGCACAGCGGGGGATGCCAGGGGAGGGGTTTTGGGGGTCGCACCCCCAGAGCCGGGCACCCCGAGCCCTCGGGGGATGCTCCGGGCGCGGGCGGAAGCGACATCTAGCGGGAAGCGCATCCCGTCGCCAGGGAGATCGATTTCCATGGCAACGCTGGGGAGCGGCGCCGCTGGACCAGGGGCACCGCGGCCCGGACCCGGCACGGGCCGGGGGTCCCGGCACTGGGGAGTGGGAGATCAAACTGGGATGTGGGTGATCAAACTGGGATTTGAACGATCAAACTGGATTTTGGGTCCTGGCACTGGGATGTGGGTGGTGGAACTGAGATTCCGTTCTATTCCTCATCGTGCTGCTCTGCTTTCGTTGGTAATAAATTAAATTAATTTCCCCGGGGTCGAGTCTGGTTTTTACGGGTCGGCTGAGGAGGGGGAGCGCAGGAGCTGCTTCGGTGCCTGCCTGGTGTTAGCCCGGGGCGGGGGTGAGAGAGGACACACGGATATGATTTATCACCGATATTATCGACACTATCGATATCCCGAGCGGGCTCGGCCCCGCCGGGACTCGAACCCGCGGCTCCCGGGACTCGAACCGGCCCCGCCGGGACTCGAACCCGGGCCCCACCGCTCCCGGGAGGCCGCGCCCGCGGAACCGCGTGCCGCGCAGAGCCCGCCCCCTCCCAAAGCCGCCCTGTCATTGGTCAATGATCTGCCAATCAAAAGGAACACAGTCTCGGATTGGTTGATATGAGGGGCGTGCCCGAGGGGGCGGGGTCGCGGGCGGGCTTCCTGCGGGCGCCTTTGCGCTGACCCCCGGCATGGTGGGCACGGGCCGGGCCGGGAGGGACCGGGATGGACCGGGAATGGACCCTGGGGGGACCGGGATGGACCGGGATGGACCGGGATGGACCCTGGGGGGACCGGGATGGACCGGGACGGACCCTGGGGGGACCGGGATGGACCGGGAATGGACCCTGGGGGGACCGGGAGGGACCGGGAATGGACCGGGAGGGACCGGGATGGACCGGGATGGACCCTGGGGGGACCGGGATGGACCAGGACGGACCGGGGAGGGACCGGGATGGACCGGGACGGACCCTGGGGGGACCGGGAGGGACCGGGATGGACCGGGATGGACCCTGGGGGGACCGGGATGGACCAGGACGGACCGGGGAGGGACCGGGATGGACCGGGACGGACCCTGGGGGGACCGGGAGGGACCCTGGGGGGACCGGGACGGACCAGGACGGACCGGGAGTTCTGAGCGGGGGATGCGTGGCCAGGCTGCCCGGGGGGGTCCCAGGGGGTCCGTGCCCGGGGGTCCCGGGGTGACCGTGGCCAGGGGTCCCTGCCCGGGGTCCCACCCGGCCGGGGGTCCCTGCAGCGCCCCCCCGGTTCCCGAGGGTCCCTGCCCGGTGCCTTCCCAGGGGGTGTCCCCAGCAGGGACAGAGCAGGGCACAGCCCCATGGCCGGCTCTGCGGGGCTGTCCCCGGCTGTCCCCAGCCCCGGGGTGTCCCCAGCCCCGGTGACCCCGGCTGTCCCCAGCCCCGGTGACCTCAGCCCCGGTGACCCCGGCTGTCCCCAGCCCTGGTGACCCCGGTGTCCCCAGCCCCGGTGACCCCGGCTGTCCCCAGCCCCGGTGACCTCAGCCCCGGTGACCCCGGCTGTCCCCAGCCCTGGTGACCCCGGTGTCCCCAGCCCCGGTGACCCCGGCTGTCCCCAGCCCCGGTGACCCCAGCCCCGGTGACCCCGCTGTCCCGCAGGCGGTGATGGGGGTGCAGCTGCTGGTCACCCTGCTGGCCGCCACGCTGCTGCACAGGCTGGCCCCGCGCTGCTCCTTCGCCCGCTGGCTGCTCTGCAATGGCAGGTACGGCCCTGGCCCCGTCCCCGCGCTGCTGGGGACGCGCCAGCTGCTGCCACCCCCTGTCCCCCAGCCTGTACAGGTACAAGCACCCCACGGACGAGCAGCTCTGCGCCCTGGCCGGGAAGCAGCGCCCCAAGGGCAGGAGGGACAGGTCGGTGTCACCGGGGGCCGGGGACAGCGGGGGCCACCCCGGGTGGCACGGGTGGCAGCCAGCCCTGGGTGACAGCCACCCCTGGGTGACAGCCAGCCCTGGGCTTGCCCGCAGGAGGGCCGGCGGGGTGGCAGAGGACAAGCCCCTGTCGGTGCCCCGCGACATCGAGCTGCAGCTGGACACCAGCCCCATCACGGCCGTGGACGCGCTGGGTGAGCAACGGGGAGCGGGGGGTCCCCGGTGAGGGGACGGACACGGGCCAGTGTGGGACAGACACGGGCCAGTGTGGGACAGACACGGGGACAGTGTGGGACAGACACGGGCCAGTGTGGGACAGACACGGGGACAGTGTGGGACAGACACGGGGACAGTGTGGGGACAGACATGGGGACAGTGTGGGACAGACACGGGGACAGTGTGGGGACAGACATGGGCCTGGTGTGGTGGTGTGTCCACACTGTGGTGACAGATGTGCCCCAGCATGGTGATGTGTCCCCAGCACAGTGGCGTGTCCCCAGCGCGGTGGCAGGCCTGTCCCCAGCACAGTGGCGTGTCCCCAGCGCGGTGGCAGGCCTGTCCCCAGCGCGGTGACACGTCCCACGCCCGCAGTGCTGCGCTATTTCCTGGAGTACCAGTGGTTCGTGGATTTCTCCGTCTACGCGGGCGCCGTGTACGTGTTCAGCGAGGGCTACTCCTGCCTGGCCAGCCCGGCCCGCGAGGGCAACCTGGGCGTGCTCTGGTGCCTGCTCACCGTGCTCTTCTGCGTGTATCCTGCCCTCGGGGGCACCAGCGGGGCCCCCGCCCTTGTTTGCCCTCCCTGCCCAGGCCCAAAGCTGGATTTTGTGGGTTATTCCTGAGCTCTGCAGGTTTTCCCTCCCTGCTGGATTTTGTGGGTTATTCCTGAGCTCTGCAGGTTTTCCCTCCCTGCTGAATTTTGTGGGTCATTCCTGAGCTCTGCAGGTTTTCCCTCCCAGGTGAGGTGTAAAACTGAATTCTGTAGATTATTTCTGAATTCTGTAGGTTTTCCCTCCCAGCCGAGGCCCAAAGCTGAATTTCTGGGGTCATTCCCGAGCTCTGCAGGTTTTCCCTCCCTGCTGAGTTTCTGGGGTCAGTGTTCAGCGAGGGCTACTCCTGCCTGGCCAGCCCGGCCCGCGAGGGCAACCTGGGCGTGCTCTGGTGCCTGCTCACCGTGCTCTTCTGCGTGTATCCTGCCCTCGGGGGCACCAGCGGGGCCCCCGCCCTTGTTTGCCCTCCCTGCCCAGGCCCAAAGCTGGATTTTGTGGGTTATTCCTGAGCTCTGCAGGTTTTCCCTCCCTGCTGAATTTTGTGGGTCATTCCTGAGCTCTGCAGGTTTTCCCTCCCTGCTGAATTTTGTGGGTCATTCCTGAGCTCTGCAGGTTTTCCCTCCCTGCTGAGTTCCTGGGCTCATTCCGAGCTCTGGGGGCTCCCCGCAGAGCAGCTGGTGGTGGCCTCGTGGCGATGCCCGGGGCTGAGCCGGGCTCGGGGGTCCCCTGGTGTCCCCCAACGTTTCCTTGACGGCCATCCCACCCCCAGGAAGGTTTTCCTGACGGTGATGCGTCACTATTTCCGCTCGGAGGAGGGCGGGGAGCGCTCCGTGTGCCTCACGGCCGCCTTCCTCTTCCTCCTGCTGGCCATGCTGGCCCTGCTGGTCCGCGAGGACTTCCTGGAGTTCGGCCTCGAGGCCGGTGGGTGCCGGGAGGGGACCCGGGCAGGGGGGCCACAGCGCTCCGGGGGTCACTCCGGGGGTCACTCCTCACCCCTGGGTCACTCATTGGTCACTCCCAGGGGCCACTCCTCACTCCTGGGGTCACTCCTCACTCCTGGGGGTCACTCCCCTCTGCCATTGGCCACTCCCCTGTGGTCACTCCCTGGTCACTCCCTTGGTCACTCCATGGTCACTCCCCAGTCATTCTGTGGTCACTCTGGTCACTCCCGCAGGGCTGGCCGGAGTCTCCTCTAACCTGGAGCCCATCCTGAAGCCGCGGGGCTGGGAGTGGACGTGAGTTGGTTCTGGGGGGGCCAAACCCCTTTTTGGGGGCTGGGGCAGGGCCGGTGGCCGCAGCCGCGCTGTCCCCTGTGCCCTGTCCCCAGGCTGCCGCTGGCCAGGCTGGCCTTCAAGCTGGGGCTGGTGGCCCTGGGCTCCCTGCTGGGCGCCTGCCTGACCTTCCCGGGGCTGCGCCTGGCTCAGACACACCTGGACGCCCTGAGCATGGCGGCTGGCAAGCCCCTGACACGGTGGGGACACCTGGGGACACCTGGGGACACCTGGGGACACCTGGGGATTGTGGGGGGCAGTGGGGGACAGCTGGGGACAGTGGGGGACACCTGGGGACACCGGGGGATTGTGGGGGCAGTGGGGGACACCTGGGGACACCGGGGGAACCTGGGGATTGTGGGGGACAGTGGGGGACACCTGGGGACAGCGGGGAGGACAGTGGGGGACACCTGGGGACAGTGGGGGACACAGTGGTGGACAGCAGGGGATACCTGGGGTGGGAGGATGGGAGGGAGGTTGGGGTGCCAGGACCCCCCAGCTCTGGGGGAGGTTTGGGGTGGGAGAGGAGGGGTCTGGGGTCTCTCTGGGGTCTCTGGGGTCTCTCTGGGGTCTCTGGGGTGGGTGACAGTCCCTTCCAGGGCCCTGCTGCACGTGGGCTTCGTGGCTCCTGTGCTGGTGGTGCTGCTCTGGGTCCGGCCGCTGTCCCGGGATTTCCTGCTGCGGGCCCCGCTGGGCAAGCAGACCGTGCAGATGTGAGGGCACAGCTGGGGACGTCCCCCGTGACCCCCGTGACCCCTGTGACCCCCGTGACGGTGTCCCCACAGTAACCCCTCGTAACACCCAGCGTCCCCCAGTCGCTCCTCAATGTCCCCTGTGACCTCTGTGTTCCCCGTGTCCCCTGTGGATCAGGGGTTCCTGTACCCAGCCCTGTCCCTGTCCCCAGCCCGTGTCCCCTGTCCCTGTCCCCAGCCGTGTCCCCAGCCCGGTGCCATCCCCGTGTCCCCTGTCCCTGTCCCCAGCCCGGTGCCCCCCCCTGTCCCCTCTCCCCAGCCGTGTCCCCAGCCCGGTGCCACCCCCTGTCCCCTGTCCCCAGCCGTGTCCCCAGCCCGGTGCCACCCCCTGTCCCCTGTCCCCAGCCTGTCGGACGCGTCCTTTGACACGCTGCGGCTCTGGGCCGTGGTGGCGCTGTCGCTGCTGCGGCTGCTGGGGACGCGCCACCACCTGCAGGCGTACCTGGGGCTGGCCGAGCGCTGGGTGCGCCGCATGCGGCGCCAGGCGGGGCGGATCCCGGCCCGCGACATCCAGCAGCAGGTGGGGAACGGGGACGGGATGGGATGGGACGGGATGGGACGGGGACGG